TTATATGAAAATCCCAGAAGGATTTCAGATCTCTGAAGGATTTGGTTCTCGAGAACTTTATTCAATTAAATTTTGTAAATCTTTGTATGGCTTAAAACAAGCCGGACGAATGTGGTATAATTGCTTTGGTGAATAACTGATAAAGGAAGGTTATTTAAATGATCCAATGTGCCTATGTGTTTTTATCAAAAGAAGTGGATCTAAGTTTGTAATTATTGTAGTTTATGTTGACGATTTAAATATGATTGGGACTCCTGAAGAGCTCACTAAAACTGCAAATTACTTGAAGCAAGAATTTGCAATGAAAGACCTTGAAAAGACAAAATTTTGTCTTGGTTTGCAAATTGAGTACACCAGAGGTGGCATCTTTTTACATCAGTTTGCTTATACTGCTAAAGTGCTTAAAAGTTTTGACATGGAGAAGGCACAGTCTTTGAGCACACCTATGGTTGTAAAGATACTTGATAAGCATAAAGATCTTTTTGTGAGGAGGGTGAAGAATTACTAGGTCCAGAAGTATTTTATCTTAGTACTATTGGGGCATTAATGTATCTCATTAGTCATGCACGACTTGTTATATCTTTTGCTGTGAATTTATTAGTTAGATATAGTTCTCCACCTACAAAAGGCATTGGAATAGTGTTAAACATATATTTCACTACCTTCAATAGGATAGATGTGGGTCTTTATTATTCAAGAACATCTAAGCCTGATTTAGTAGGTTATGTAGATGTTGGATATTTATCAATCATCGTAATGGTCGATCCCAAACTGGTTATGTTTTTACATGTGGAGGGAATAATAATTTGATGGCTAATTATTCTAAACTTATGATAATTCATGGTGCAAGTTGAGAGTGTGTTTGGTTGAGATCTATTGTTTCTCATATTCGAGGATCGTGTGGATTGTATTTGGAGAAATATGTCCCTATTACTTTGTTTGAAGATAACGCTGCCTGCATTGGCCGATTAAAGGAAGAATACATCAAAGGTGATAGAACAAAGAATATTTCATCCAAATTTTTCTTTACTCATGATCTTCAGAAGAATGGTGAAATCAATATTCAACAAATTTGTTCAAGTGACAATTTGGTTGACTTATTCTCGAATTCATTACCAACACCAACTTTTGAGAAGTTAGTTCACAAGATTGGAATGCGACAGTTGAAAGATGTCAAGTGATGTGCTCAGAGGGGGAGTTCCTCCACGCTAGTTGTACTCTTTTTTCTTTGATCGAAGTTTTGTCCCAATAGGTCTTCCTGACAAGGTTTTTAATGAGGCTGCGTAATATTTGGAAATGTACTCTTTTTTCTTTATTATATTTTTATCCCACTGGATTTTGTAAAGGTTTTAACGAGGCATTATTCCGAGAAATGGACATCTAGGGGGAGTATTATAATTATCTGATAATGTGGATGTCCACAAACTAATAGAGTTATACAAGAACTCTTTGTATAGAGATAATATTTATTAGATCTTATCACCGGCTAGATGTTATCTCTATTTGTTCTCATCTCTGTATCTGTTATGCCTATAAAAGGAGATCAATATCTGTAGAAATAATACACAAATCATTCTCTCTTTCTTCCTCTCTATTGTTCTCTCTCCCTCTTTGTTCTTTCTTTCAGCTTTATAGTTTTGTTTTTCAGTTTATATTTATAACAAATATATAATTTTTGAAAATTAAATCAATCAAGGTATAACTATTAAGTATCCAAATTCAATTATACTTCTATTTAGATTGTTTACTTCTAAAAACAATGGCTTAATGCTAATTTAGCTATGAAAATATTTCAGTCATTTTACTTTGATTCCGACGAAACTAAATTTTTTTTGGAAATAACTTTTCTTTTTTATAAGTGTCACCTTTTTTTCCGGGACCGAGGAGAGAATATATATATATATATACACACTTGTGATGTCTGGTCTCGCAAGGCACGACCCTGGCCTAATATATCTGTACATCTTAGAAATGTTTGTATCTGGAAAAAAATATTTTGTATTTGGCCCGATATATTTTAGAAATGTCTAAAAAATTTAGAAATATTTTATAAGTGTGATCATAGAAATGTTTGTGTTTGGCATAAAAAGAAATTGTATTTGACCCGGTACGTTTTAGAAATGTTTGAAGATTTTAGAAATGTTTTATAAGTGTTACTTCTTAAATATAAATAAACTTGATCAAATATATATCTTGAATTAAATGCTAGACAAAATATAAAAGCATCCTAATAAGTTTAAATATTAGTAAGATAATTTATTGATGTTCTCCGGTTGTGCCAAATCAATACTTAGTTATAGAGATTTATAATAGCTTTGTAGTAAGCTTCCTCCCAAGGGTATACGCTTAATTGTTCAAACTATTTCTTCCAAAAGTTTATAACTAGTAAAATATTAAAAATATGATTTTGAAACTGGTTAATTGATGAAATTGGTTGATCACAAATATGAGAATGAAAATAATGTAAATTTGCATAGGTTTCAAATTATACCAAAAAAGAACTAACCCCACCATGGCAAATAAAAAAAAAGAAAGTAAAAGATAGCCCATTTAAAATTGAGAAATTTTTTTTTTTCTGTAGGTAAAAATGTTGTATAAAAATACAAATAAACGTAGAAACATCATTCTTTCCCTCTCCGCCTCAAATTCATAAAAGGCTTCTCCAGAAATTAGTTAGAAGAAATGAAGAACTAAAAAAAGTCCAAAAACCAAATAAAAAAAAGTATATTCTTGAAAGCCCGAACACAAAAAAAAAACGCGTTTTATTTGCAAATAAAATAAAATAATAATAATAATAATTGGTCAACTGGGAGTATGAAACAAAATAAAAAACAATTAAACAAAGAAAAAACACACTTCTTAACTGACCATATACGAAAAAAAAACTGAGACTCCATAATTAAGAAAAGAAAACCACTCTAATTGAATGAAACATTAAAAAGAAATTTTAAAAACCACACTTTGTAACAAAAACTCAATTAATCAATTCAATCTAAACAGAACTAAAATCATACAAAACTTCTAGGCTAACTAAATATATAAGAAATCACATCATATCACCTGACAACAGCTACGGTAGCTGTAACGGATGGACGCATAAAAATAATAGTAATAACACTACTCTTGAACGAGAAAAACAAAAAATAATAAAAGCCAAACAAATGATCTGTGAAAATAAAACAATTTAAATTTTAATACCTGTAATTACACCACCACAACGGCCGAAGCATGATCAATGAGAATTTTTTTTTTCCTTTGTGTTTATATAGAAAGGTAAAGAGAATATTTTTTGAAGTCGAAATTTTATCTGATCAGCATGTAGTTGATCATCACTAATGAAAAGATTGAACATGCTAATAGCAAATGAGTATATTTCACCACATATTCTCAATTGATGATTGATGAGGAATTTGTTTTTTATATATATATATATATTGTAGAGGTAGATTTGGACTGCATTTGCCTTTTAAGTCTAGGAGATGTGAAAATAAAGATTTATTTTAAAAATATGATGTGGAAATGCCACATGGAAAATGGTGGTGCTTTCTCTTAAGTATGTTTTTTGTTTCTAATATAATAAGATATGTTTTCTTTTTCGCATTTAAAGTTTAATAATTTCAATTATTAACCAAAACTAAAAGAAATAGACAATGTTTTTGTCCATTCTGAGGTGCAATATCGGTTTGTGCCAACTGATTTATGACAATGGACTCTCAGTGGCAATTAACGGTTGTACCCCCAGTTATCTTGGTTTGGGCTTTTACGTATTTTACCACCTCTCATGGGCCTCAATAGCCCACATATTAAAACTCAGCATGATTTGATTGCTTTTTTCTCTCTGTTTTCTTTTTTTTTTCCTTTTTTTTTTTGGGGGGTGGTTATGTTTAGGTGGATTAGAGGTTTGCTGTGTGTAATATATATGAGTAGTGATATATGAAAAAAAAAAAACGAAATTAGATAAAAATTTACAAGGCATAATGCACTTATATGTAATTTATAAATTATTCTTCTTATATTAAAAGTATAATATACTCAAATAAAAAGTATAGAAATGAATGGATATGATTTAACTCATATAATTATTTAGCATCCGCATCAATGTTAAATTGTTAAAAAATATTCCAAAAAAATATTTTCAGCCCACCCCTACCGACATTCTATTTTAAATCTCTTAGGAATTCATAAGGAAATTGTGCCACTAGAATAGTATATGTGATTCATTCTGAACACTTGTTTTCTCAAAATTTTAGTTTCAATTGGAGTTTAATGCTATGTTTTAAAAATCGGACCGGAAGGTAAACTAACAACTTTATTGGATTATTAGTTTATCGGTTTTATCGATTCACAGTCTTTAAAACTGGTAAAATTTGATATAAAGAATATTTTAAAAATAGTTTTTTCTCAAAATTTCAAAATTATGATTCAATCGATACTGTTTCCGATCGAACAACGACTTCACCCTAATTTAACCGAGTTTGAATGGTTTTTAAGTTAATCAGTTATTTATCGAAACTGGACCAAAAAGGCAAAAAGGACCCCAATTCCTGGTTGATCCAGTTCGACCGCCTGGTCTGGTTTTCAAATAGCTTTAATCATTAGTGCTAGGGTGTAAAGTACACGTAAGTAAGGTGACAGATAATGCTAGCAGAACAAGTTTATGAAATGTGACGATTGTGATCATTACATGCAAGGGGAAAAAGGGAAAAAAAAAAAAAGATAACAAATTGAAAGCCATATTTCATTAAAGAATCAAAAACACATGAACATCAAACAAAGGGAAAACAAACCAACCTTACATAGTAAGGCGCGACACAAAGGATGGGAATGATCATTTCAACAACAACAAGAATAAGACCCCAAAGGAAAAGAAAGAAAATGAACGAAAAACAAACACACAAATCAAACTCTCTTGCTTCCATTCAGGGGGCGCTGTGAATCAAATTTGTTCTTTCTGCATTCCTTTCGTCCCAAAATGAATGAATCGTCGAGGAGGATGCGAGCTAGATTCGTGGAGGGGTAATCTCGTGGGTGCAGAAATCGATGGTAACACGACGGGTGTAAGGTTTCTTTTGGGGATTCAACAACCACATGTTGACATTCTCTCTTCGGGGGAGGCTGGGGTTCCCAGCCAGATCATAGGTGGTGATTTCGGCCCAGTCCAGATGCCAACCCGGAAGTCTACAAGTCCCGGTATTGATGAAGGATGCTTTGCAAAACAGTGGGTTGCAGGGGGCTTGGAATTCAAAGGTGTCCACATTATAACGCTGGAAATAAGCTGCGTATGACTTCCTCCCCTTCCCGTACCACCTGAGATTGTAGATGGGATGTCTCAGCAGATCCAATCCCAACACATTCACCAGCTCGATTTCCATGGCGATGGCCGCATCCGTTGGTGCGTATGGTCCGTTCCCTGTTTTCAATTTTACCACCCACTTGCATTGCTTTGAAGAGGAGTATTAATCAACCATGCACAAAAAATCCCAACCAAATTTTAGTTAGTTTCGAAAAACTAAAGTAGAGAACACAAAAAAGACTTTTTTTTTTTAATATAACCAACTAGTGTCTGAAATTATTGTTTCGATAAAACGGACTTTAATTAAATCTGCTGCACGCAAAATAATTTTCTCTTTTCCTTTTGATAAAAAAATTAATAATTTTCTGTTTTCCTAACCAATGTAATATATATATTCCCTCCGTCCCACAAAAAATAGTCCACATTGAGTTTTGTACTGTTTTTAGTACAAATTGAAAACTCTATATGGACTATTTTTTTGGGACGGAGGTAGTATTAGACTACTATTCCCTGCCATTCCAAATCAGTTGACTTATTGTACCATTTTAGTTAGATTAATCAGTTTTTTTTTTTATTGGTTTAATTTATTTACGTTTAAAGTTCAGTTTAAGTGATCAAGTACCGGAAGAAGAGAGGGGTCTGTAGGTTGGTCCGGTTCAGGTTCGACAACTGGAACGTCGGGTTCTGTGGAATCATCCTCGGAACCGGAACCAGGAACGGGAGCCTCTGGCGTTGTGTTTGTCTCGGAGCCTGGATTGGTCGTGGGACCCGACCCACCCGACCCGCCGTACTGGCTGTCTTGATCTCCGTAGTCTGCGCCATTTGGGTCTTTTGCTGGGGCCAATAGTGCTGCTTCTCCGCAAACAGAGAGAACAAAGAGAGTTGCACTGATCATCAGAACAAACCTGATGAGCAAAAGTCCCATTGTATTTCGAAACTCACGAAATTATGAGACCTTTTTGGCTTCTAATTAGATTAGAGGGATTTTGGATCTTATTATGCGTTTTAGCGCAAGAGACAAAAAGGAAGACGAATAATGTTTTAGTCGGTGCAAGGATTAGAAAGGCTCGGCACATCTATTTATATGATTACAGGCTTGCCAGTTTCAGTGACATTTTCGTGCATGACGAGAGTAGAAAATTCGATATTGTTTTTAATTAAAACCATGCAGGCATTAATAAATTAGACAACTACTCATCATGTCAAGCGGTATATATATAGTAGCTAGTACGTTGTGTCATACCATTTTTAATTTTATGTACAACACAGGTTGTCCCGAAAGAATTAAATCTTTCTGTATAATTCTTAAACCATCGCGAGCTAGCCTCGGCCACATGGGTTTGAATTTTGATGATTTCTTAGTTACAAATTTTTCGGGTTCCAATACAACTCAGAGGCATACACTGAAAATGAACAGATCATACGTACTCACTCCTTTTTTTTTTTTTTTTAAGAGAATGATTGTTTCAATCAAAGTATGTTTATTTTGGAGCAAAGTGGGATAAATGATTTGTCCCATGCTATAGGATTCATTTTAATTTTGTTGGATTTATGTCTATACTGACTGGTTAATTAATTAATTGTATTGGTGTGTTTCATGATATTAGCTTGGTACGTTAACTGTTTGTCACGAAAATGACCATCTTAATTCTTAAATCAGTTGATAATTTATCTAAGAACAAGCCATGGAAAATATTTATAACAAATTTGGTAGAGAGGTTTCAATTTAGACTGAATAACAGTTCATGAAGCTCGCAGATTAAAGAGACACCTGAATATGAGGAAGGATTTTTATTTTTTTTTCCTTTTTGTTTCTCCTTGATGTTCTTAATACTTTTATTACTGTTTCCGTCCTAGAAAATTAAATTTTAATATAAATTTTAAAACTCAATATAAACTATACTTTATGGAACAAAAGAAAGTTTTTGAAAGTAATTAGGGTATTGTATGGTTGAACCACTTCACGTGGTCGACGGTTGAAGTGGATATCGTTACCATAGTACAAAATGGAAAAAGACATTGTTGAAATAAATAGTAGAATGGTTATGGAATATGAGATACTATGTTAAAATCAAAATTACGTGATTGAGATAAAATACATATCTCAAGTCTCAACAGACTGATTTCATAGTGGACTATTTTGATTTCGTTAACATCGAGATCTGGAAAAAAAAAATACTGTAACTTGAAACACCAACATCAAAAGACAACTTGTTAATGTCTTAAAGGGGTAGCGAGGGAATACTTATATTGAATATCTAGATCGGGGGATCCAGCTTCCATGAAATGGAAACATCGAGGGACTATATTAATACAGTATTTATGTAAGTACAACTATTTTAAAAATAAAAACATGGATTTAAATTATTAAGAAAAATCATTTCAAGATTCGAAGTTTCGTTCTTTAGCCAGCCTATTGTGGGTTGGTGATTGAACTGAACCCGGAACAAACTTAAAGCTACATCCCGTCGATTGATTTGAACTTTTGAATTGAATTTATTCTATAATGTAAATACATATATAGATGCTATCTTTTGTAAATGATGAACACATTAAATTAACACTAGTATTATTCTTCGTTCATTAAAAATAATTCATAATGTGTTTTAAGACTTAATATTGTTTTTATTAATACAAATTTCAAAATTCAATAAGTATTTTTTTTTCCTGAATAGAAGTGCAATATTTTTGTCCTATTTGAAACTTGGTTAATCTAACATTTTTTTTTCTTCTGAAAGTATAGTCTACAATGTAGTTTATGAATTGTGCTAAAAAAAATATAATTTGCAAATGTAATATGAATTATATTTTTTTTTTATACGGAGGGAGTATAAGTGCATAAAAAAGGACATTTCATCGTACGAAGAAATCATAACAAGGGCCTCCGGATTTCATGATATTGATGATTTGATGTTATAGCGTATAAGTCGAAGCATTGACCACAATCAAGATAGGGAGGAAATCCTTAAAGATCTTTTTTGTCCAGTTACAGAGCGACCAGAATTATTTTCATTCTCTATCATTTTTTGCGGGTAGACTGTCCGAACCCCCCTCTGATATGTCTCTTATTGTTTATTAAAGAGAAGAGTTAATTTTTTTTTTTTACAATGAGATGAGATAAAAAGTTGAGATACAAGAAATCATAACATAACAAGGATAGAAAATCCCCATCAAATCATGATCTAGTAACGAGCACACTTCATTCGGAGGATCAGACAAGTTTTGATAACCACCTGATTATCGAGAAGCTAAATCTGTCATACAATCAACTATAAAATTTGCTTTTCTATACACATGCTTTAACACCACCAACCAAGATCTTCCCAACAGCTCCTGAATTGCCCGAACAAGACTCGACTGAAATCCCAAGTCACCTACATCACCTTTCACCATTTTCAAAACACACATGCTATCCACCACTTCGGCAATAATCTTCCGTCCCCCAGTCTCCCAAGCCAAAGTAAGACCATGAAAAAAAGAAAAAAGAAAAAAGAGAAGAGTTAACTTTTAATTTGTACCAAAAAAATAAAGAATTTCTGATTACCATGTTTAATATTTTAATTTTGTAATTACTTTGATTATTGATTATGATTAAGTCAACTTTTTTATCTCGGAGATACAATTTCTATTCTACGTGAAATTTAAGTATTCATTCTAGCTACCATTACCAAGTACCAACCATCACCTTCCTGCTGCTGCCTTCATACTAATTTACTAAAACAAATGCAGCCTCTGAATTTTATTAAGAGAAATGAATTTTTTAAAATAAAAATAAGAAAATGAAATTGATGCAGTGTGGAAGCCCTTTCAAACAAATTATCTTAGCGACAGAACTTAATAGCCCAGAGAGTAATCACGAAAAGGATGAAACTAACCGTTATGTTTTTTTTTAAAAAAAAATACTTGTTTTATTAGTGAAAAATATCTACAGTATTACACTGCATTATATTATAAGCTAAATGATGTTGTTTATGGACCTCATTTCTATTAATTTTAATCTGTCGACGAGAAACGAAAGTCGAAATTAAGCCAATAACTAACCATCATGTTATGTCGTCCAAGAAGAAGAGCTGCTCCCGTATTTATTTAATTAAACATAATTGAATACGAATGACTATCATCAGGGAACGGAATGTAAATTTTAAAATAACGAAATGAGATAATTAAAAATTTTACACACAAACACTAGATACGGATTTTTACTGCAAACTTTTCTTTTTCAGCGTTTCTAATAAACTTAATCTCTCACCTGATCTAACTAATGGGAAAGTAGAATGATATTCAAACTTTTTTTTTCTAATATTTACAGCGAGATGTCTCAGTTAGTTATTAAATTTAATTTTGACCACCAAATTAATTGATAATAATTAGGCAAACCCATACGCCGCAGTTTGCTTGTAGTTCTCATTCTTTTCCCCATCACCATAAAGCGCATACGCTTCTTCTCCATGAACCGACTCATCTCCCATGTTCAGCGCTTCTTCCGTCAACCTAAGCGGAACCACCGCTTTAATAACCAAAAATATCAAAGTCGTAATCACAACGTTGAGGATGACCACAAACACGATCCCCAGCAGCTGGATTCCCACTTGCCGGAGCCCGGCTTTGGCGCGGCCATCGTGTACGGCGTAGGCCAGGCCGGTGTAGTGCTCCCAGTTGTCAACCAGGTAGAAAATGCGGTTCAGTTTTGGCTCGGCAAAGATCCCGGTGAGGATTCCGCCTAGGCAGCCGGCGACACAGTGGGTGTGGAGTACACCCAACGTGTCGTCGACTTTCCTAAGTACTGAAATTTTCTTTTGGAGGATCATCATGGTGAACCATGGAATGCTTCCCGAGAGTAGACCCATTATGATGGCTGCCCAACCTTGCACCACCCCTGTTGAACAAAATAAGGTTTTTTTTTCATATTATTTGCATTATAAACTCTACCATTCAATTAATTAGTTACGTACGACTCAATCATGCAGCCATGCATAATGTGTATTAGTTCAATATCATTTGGTTTAAAAGATTTAATGTCATGTTTTGACTACAGAGATTATTACATAGGGAATAAACAATAAACATATCGAATTCGATTGGTATAGTGTTAGCGATTGTCTCATTAAAGATTAAAATACCATTCGAATTTGTTACTTTCAAATGATGTGATTCTCTTGACAATATTTCAATTATGATTGCATGATTATGTGAGAATTTGAAGATAACATTTATTTTTAATATTGTTGCATACACATATCTGGATTCGAACCGTGATCACAGTTAAAACTGATACGAGCACTTAATTGGTAAATGTTAAAGCACAATGAATTGATTATAGGGAAAAAACTGTACCAGCGGCAGGGGTAATGCAAACTAAGCCAGTGATGATGCCTTGAGTAGCTCCCAGAACTGATGGTTTCTTGAAGACTATCATATCCAAACTGATCCAAGTCAGCAAACTAGTGGCGGTACAAACGTGCGTATTCAGGATTGCCAATGATGCATCAGTGCTAACAGCAAACGGGCCACCGCCATTAAATCCAGTCCATCCCAACCAAAGAAGGCCCACCCCAGTAAGCATGGACAACATGTTGTTTGGGAAAAACGTCTCTCTATCTCTTACGGACCTAGGCCCAACCTTTACAAAATAATATGGAGGAGGCACAAAGGAAAAGTAATTTTTTTATTAAAAAAAAGTAATGATGAAAGAATGTCACACAAAATGCGATGAAATGAAATGTAACCACAAGAATTTGATGGATGAAATTTTACCCAGAAAGCAGCCGTGAAACCAGCAACTCCTGAAGCAACATGAATGACATAGCCGCCGGCGAAATCGATGATCCCCATGGTTGACAACCAACCATCAGGGCACCAAATGCTAAACGCGGTAATGGTGTAAGAGAAAGTTAGCCAAAGCGGGACAAATATCATCCACGCCCGGAAGTTCATTCTTCCGAGCAAAGCTCCGGCGATCAAGATCACCGTTATTGCCGCGAAAACAAATTGGAAATACACCATTGTAGCATTTGGGAAAGCCCCAAGGAAAGCCTTCTGAAGGAGAAACTTTTGGTCCAACGACACATTAGGTATACCCACGAAAGGTAGTAATTTATCGCCGAACGACATTCTGTAAGCCCACATTACCCAACAAACCATGACCGCAGCAAATGCGTATAGCGCCATGAAAGCTGAATTAACGGCCCATTTCTTCTTAACAATACTTCCGTACAGAATGACTAGGCCCGGTACACATTGAAGCCCAACTAGCGTTGCCGCCGTGAGCTGCCATGCGTTGTCGCCTTTGTTCATCCAGTCTGGGCTGGATTGATCCGGCAGGAGGTTTGCTGGAAGTTGATCCATCTTCAGCTCCGGCCTAGACAACTGAAGGGACCGTTTGTTGAGATCGCCTTGAAAAAATCTTTTTCGATTTTGAGCTTATTAGTTTTCTGATTAATGACTTTGAAAATTCCAGCCTTAAATAATGTCATGTGTTTGTTGGCTGTAGCTGGATTCCAGGGGAAAAGCATGCTTGGTTTTTTGCCTGTCTTAGATGACTTAAACCGCTGATTGAATCTTAAGTGTTTATGACCAAAGATACATTTGCACATCCAACATTTTCGGAGCCTTGTACTAAAAGTCTAGAACCTTTGAACTGTCCAAAAATAGTTTAGGGAATACATACAATTTTAATTTCTCCATACAGATCAGAGGTGGTAGATTTTCTGTTGAGTTTTTTCGCTCCTGCGCTGAGTTTCTAATATTTACAGCTACTCTTTTCCTGGTTAGTTTTCCTAAAGCGGAACCCAAACATTGCTAAAATGTTCTGACTCGATTCAGAATTTTGGGGATGATAATTTGTACTACGACACATATTTAAAAGTGACGTGTTTCTAATTAAAAATCATATGAACCTTGCTGGTCAACGCGTATTGAGCAGTGAACACCAAGATGAATCATAAAGATGTGTTCAATTCGGAAAAAAATAATATTGATATGTAAATACAAAAATTTCTTCTTTTCGTATATAATAAAGAAATAAACACGACGTGATTGTTACGTCTAAGAATTTTTGCAGCAAAATATATATGCTCGCGGCTCCCCGGTTTACCGGATTTGAACTTAGTTCGAATTGTTTCTCCAGTTTAAAATCCAAGCCTAAATCGATACACGGGGACTAATTATTTGACATTTTGTTCCTTAACATTTGTCCCCATTTCCCCACAAAGCATAGGCTTGTTCACCATGAACAGCTTCGTCGCCCTCATTCAAATCCTTTTCAGGCAACCTAAGAGGTGTGACTAATCCGATCAGCAAGCAAATTAGACTTGTCATCACAAGATTCCACACGGTAACAAATGCAATGCCCAACAACTGGACGGACAGTTGCCGGAATCCTGCTTCGAACTTCCGGTCGTGGAAGCCGTAAAACAGACCAATGTACCGTGGCCAACTATCCACATTGTAGAACAGCCTGCTGAGTTTAGGATTCGCGAAAACTCCGGCCAGAATCCCGCCTAAGCTACCTGCCACGGCGTGCGTGTGGAACACGGCTAACGTGTCGTCCACCTGTTTCAGCAGCCAGATTTTCTTGTGCAAAACCATCATTGTGAACCATGGAATGCTTCCCGACATTACTCCCATAATGATAGCTGCCCAGCCTTGTACAATTCCTAATTTTTAAGCCAAAATTTATATGCAATTACCAACTTAAACTCAGGCAAACGGGATTAAGATTTTACGACACAGAAAAGATAGTGAATTACCAGCAGCAGGGGTGATGCAGACTAAGCCAGTGATCATGCCCTGAGTAGCACCAATAACTGATGGCTTCTCGAAGAACAGAATATCCAAAAATGTCCAAGTGAGCAAGCTTGTGGCAGCGCAGATATGCGTGTTAATGACAGCCAACGACGCGTCTATGCTCGCGGCGTACGGATCTCCACCGTTGAATCCCGTCCAGCCCATCCACAGCAACCCTGCCCCGGCAAGCATAAGCAAGATATTGTTCGGCGGAAATCTTTCCCGATCCTTACTAGCCCTTGGACCGACCTGAAGCACACATAACATCAAGAGTCAATTAGCCCTTTCAGTCAGATACTGCCTCTGTCCCAATCCATACTGGACAATCACTATATCTGAAAATCTATACTGGACAGTAATTTTGGGACAGGGGGGAATACTATTTTTGTTACTTACCCAATAAGCCGCTGTGAAGCCAGCAACGCCCGAAGAAAGATGAATCACGAATCCGCCGGAATAATCAATCAGTCCAAGCCTGAATAACCAGCCGTCAGGACACCAAATACTATAAGCCGCAACCGTATAAGAGAAAGTGAGCCACAGCGGCACAAACAACATCCAGGCATAGAAATTCATCCTCCCGAGAACCGCGCCGCAAATCAAAATCAGGGTGATTGCGGCAAACACGAACTGAAAGTAAACCATGGTTGCATTCGGAAACCTGCCCGCAAATGCTTGCCTGAGTAGAAACTTTTGACTCAATGCAGTATCGGGTTTGCCCAGAAACCGAATGAAGTTGTCTCCGAAAGACAATTGGTAGCCCCATCCGACCCAACAAACCAGGACGGCGGCGAATGCGTAAAGGGCCATGAAAGCTGAATTGACGGCCCATTTCTTCTTAACAATGCTGCCGTATAGAATGACGAGTCCCGGAACGCTTTGTAATCCGACTAGAGTGCCTGAAATGAGTTGCCAAGCGTTGTCGCCTTTGTTTAACCATTCAGGATTCGCAGGGCTCAGAATCAGGTTCGGCGGTAAACTCATCTTCTTGTGATTTTTTTTTTCACCTGTAGTCTTAATTGATTTATGTCTGAATAGCTTAATTTACTGTATTTTGATGAAGATCAGAATGATTGATCAATCGAAGACATCGAAATATTTGTCAAATGTTGTAGTACTATCAGTAACAGGACAATGTGGATTCACTCTGATTCATCTTAATTCAGACGGAGATTGTTATGGATTTATTGTAGGCTTCCTTGGGTGCTTAGGTTGATCTTGTCGAAGAAAATTATTTGTATATACGCTACAGTTGTCATTGAATTAGATGTGTGTGTGTGTGTATGTGTTTTTTTTTTTTTTTTTTATAAAAATAAAAATTTAATACAATAGTTTTACGAGATTGAACAAAACAAAAAAACGTTAATTGGACTTAAAAAGTGTAGCTAATTAACACACCTAGCAGAGAGACTGGAACGGTCTGCATGAGGTCGATGGTTCAAATTCGTGCCAGGAGTTTGAATTTTCTTCAATAGTTTGGACTCCAAATCTGCAGCCACTGGATTGAATACTGCTTCCATTTATTCCTGATTCCCCGTCACCTAAGCTACAATTTATAACCGTAACAGATATCACACACAATTGAGTATTAGTATATTTTCATCATTTATAAGGTTACATCTTGATTTAAAAGTAGATATTGTCCTTATTTCATCTACCAGAATTTGTTTTGGTGGAGTACATTAAAAAAAGCACATTCACACACACAAACACACAATTTTTGGTTGATGTATTTTATTTTTGCCTTTTCTAGTCCAAGATAATCAATTGATAAACTAGAATGTCCAAATGATTTTGACCACAAAAAAAAAATAAGAGAGGAAAAAAATAGGATACAAGTATCATCATGGTAGCCCATATGCAATGAACCAATGTAGCTTAAAATACTACTATTTGTTTCGAAAAATAATTCAATAACAAAATAATTTATTTTTCGAAAACAAAAATGTAATCACATTATTAAAAATTCAGCTAAGGAACCTGTTGCCAAATGTGGATTCTATGGGGAAAAGGGAAAAAAAAGAAAAGAAAAGAAAAAAAGAAGCATTGTCAAACTTTGAAACTATTATTGAAAGCTTTCCATCAACTTCAATCTCTTCTTCAAACTGAAAAAGGCGGAAAGTGTGCTTTGAAAATAACACTGGCGGTCCAATCGTCCAATCCATTGAAAGTCAGCAAAGCAAACATCATATGGCTCAGGCTCACCTTGAACGCATGCTTCTTAACAAATTCAAATACGGCTTTGGAGTGACGGGTATCAACTTCACCACGAATCCAATCGGCCAAGTCAAAGCTGCCATTCCAATACAAATCATCCATTGGTTCCACTTCAATCTCTCCGTATCCGCAAATTTCTTCAGAAATTCAACCATCACGAACTGAAGCACGACCGTCACCGTCACAATCCCGACGAACAGCCGGTTTTTATGAAGACCCTCGAACACATTTTGCTTCTCCAGTTTCCTCGAATTGAATTCATTGAATACTTGGCAAAGCACGAACGTATTGAAGATTATGGTATCTTTCACCCCTGTATTGACGTTAAGGATGGATTTCCCCCTGAATTGCAGTGTCAGTAGGATGATAATTTGGTACAATGATTGTGCTAACAGATTTCTCCACATGATTTTCGTAATCAGCGGTTCGGTTCGGCCGACGGGCGGTTTATCCATAAGCTCCTTGGTTGGCCGCTCTGTTGCGAGCGCCAGAGCACCCAATGTGTCCATAATCAGGTTTACCCAGAGTAATTGAACCGCCGTCAGGGGAATTTCTCCGGCAGAAACCGCGGCGATGAAGTTGATTGCGAGGGCTGCCACGTTTACTGTGAGCTGGAATTGAATGAATTTCTGGATGTTGTTGTAAACGGATCGACCCCATTTCAGGACTGTGGCTACGGAGGCGAAATCGTCGTCCAGGATGACTATGTCGGAGCTCTCTTTCGCGACTTCGGTGCCCTGAATCCCCATGGAAAGTCCGATATCAGCTTCTTTGAGGGCAGGGGCGTCGTTTGTGCCGTCCCCGGTGACTGCCACGACATGGCCTTTTTGTTTTAGGCATTGTACCATTAAGAGCTTGTCGAATGGGGATGATCTCGCCATGACCCGGATTTCGTCGATTCTCAGCATTCTCTCTTCTTCTGTGCAGTTTCTGAATTGGACGCCTTCGATAACTTCCCAGCTGTTTTGTTGTTGTTGCTGATGATGATGATGATTAGGCTCCAGGATTCTGCATTCTGTGGCGATTGCTTTCGCGGTGAAGACGTTATCTCCTGTGATCATTTTGATGTCTACTCCAGCAGCCCTGCAAGTTTCAATGGCCTTCCTTGCCCCTGGTCTGCATGGATCCTTGATGCCAACTATTCCAAGTAAGGTCAAGTCATCTTCTTTTAGCCTTTTCGGGTTTTCATTTTGTTGCATTTCTGCATCTGTAATCTGTTTATGAGCGAATGCAATGCATCGGAGGCTGCTTGCTGCCATTCCTTCAATAATCTTCTTGAATTGTGTTCTTTGTTCTTCATTGATTGGCTTCAGGTCTCCATTGCTTTGATAATAACTTGAGCACAGGGCTAATAGAATCTCCGCTGCTCCTTTCCAGTGTACTTGATGAGTATTATCAGCCTTCCTCCGTATTAATACCCCACTCCTTTTTTTCTCTGAATTGAAGGTGTCGACGTGAATGATTGAGTAATTTCTTTTAACTTTGTCCATATCCATGCTCAAGTCCTGGACAGCCCATGATAAGATTGCCTTCTCAGTTGGGCTACCTGTAAACTCGGGTACGCCGGATCCTGATTCAGATTTGTAGATGCTAGCTGTGGTATTCAAACCAATGGCTAGGTATAACATTTCAAGGACATCTTCATGAATCAGGTCCTTGTACCTTTCTGCAATGTGTTCGTCCCCGAACCAAAACTTGGTTACTTTCATCTGATTCAATGTTAATGTTCCCGTTTTATCGGTACATATTACTGTTGCTGATCCCATGGTCTCGCAAGCTGAAAGCTTTCGGACCATTGCCTGATCAGCCATCATTCTTTTCATTGAGTAAGCCAGTGTTAGTGTTACAGCCAGCGGGAGCCCCTCAGGAATCGCAACCACTACAATAGTGACTGCAGCCGAAACAATACGCAGAATGGAATTGAATACATCGTTTATATTCGTCTTAGATCCTTGGTATTCTGTTTTCCCATCCTTTTGTGTATTTCCAGTGAAATACCGTACCAGCAGCACGATCAGCACGATAAATGCTACAGCTAGACCGACTTTACCAATGGACGAGGTTAGTTTGTTTAGGCGTGCTTGTAACGGCGTTTGCTCATTGGAATTGCGAGTGATGGAGCTCATCATTTCTCCCCATGAAGTGTTGGTTCCTACCGATGTCACAAGCATTCTTCCATAACCATCTGCTACTTTCGAACCAGAGATTAGGAATGGATTCTGAGTGGAGTCAACTTGTACATGATCACTCTCTCCGGTCATACTTGATTCGTCAACCTGGAGGGAGTGCCCGTCTATGAAGACCCCGTCTGCTGGAATTTGATCTCCTATGCTGAGGAAGACGATATCTCCCACCAAAATATCGAAAATGGAAACCTTTTGGCGCCTTCCATCTCTGACAGCATCAATTTGGATATTGTCACTTATCTTTGAGAGCTTGTCAAACTGTCTTTCTTGACGAAAATTGCTGCCCGCGGAAACTACCACAACAAGAAAGACAGCCACAATGATGCTGCCGCCTTCGTACCAACCTTCTTTTGCTCCGTTCTCTCTGATACCAAAGCCAAGTGAAAGCGCTGCACAGCCAAGGAGGATGAGAATGGTAGTATCCTTCAAGGCTTCAATGATAAAGTAAAGTAGCCCAAGTGGAGGTGGTTTTTGGTAAGTGTTGGAACCAAACAAGTCGCGCCTTGCATTTATATCATTTTCGTCACCTTTGACTCCGTTGTCCAAGTTTGTATTCAGAGTTTTTGCCAGGCCCTCCACCCTGCCTAAGCTTTCAAAGTATTCCAAGTTTTTGTTCTTCACCAGTTCTGCGAGCAAGTTTTGGTCAATGTTGGCAAGGGAAGAGCCATTTGCATTACCCCTCTGTGGCAATGCAAAATCTGATGATAACAATTGTTGATCAAGGCGCCGAAAATCTATCATTGGCTCTACCTCAATGATAGTGAAAGAAGGGGAGCCATACTTCCAAAATGCTCCATAGGTACCTGCCCTTGATAGTACTGTTTTTGACAGAGACATAGAAAAGCATATTGCTAGGTAAGCAATTCGCCATCGCTTATGCGCTTTGGATCTGGTGAGATTGCCAATGTTTGCCAACAATGACTTCAATGTCCCATATTTACTGTGGTACGAATTCAATTTGCTTGCCATTTTAAAGCTCACCGCAGGAGAAAAAAGGCTAGGAAAAGATAGTTTAGAAGTTCTTCTTCTCTTTTTTTTTTTTTTTCTGTTTTTTTCTTTTGTATGAAAGAACTTCTTCATTCTGAATTGCTGAATGGTACCACCTTTATACTCGCGGAGGCCAAGGGAAACTTGAAAATACTAAGAAACTTCCCGTACTATAATCAACACTTTAAATCCTTTCTTAAAGAACACTCATTTCGAAGACTCATACTAACTCTTCTTTTCATTGGAAGTATATTGATTGGTTTTATACTCCATTTTGATGACTGTGTCCACAAATTAAAACTTAACTATTGGCGAAGTCGATCCGATTACGCTGTATACAGTTTCATGACTACTGTTTTTCCTCTGTATTCAAGCTGCTACTTTAAGGCTTAAGCTGTTGATGCTTAAGCAGATTCCGGATTATCTCCTTCTACATGTCTATATATTGCCAGAGTAATGGTCTAATAGGTCAACCGACTAAGGAGAAACCGATAAACCTGCCCAAATCCAGGCCCATCGTTTTCAAGTCTCAACAACACAATGTTGTGACGCTTCTGCAAACTGTGAGCTGAATAAATTTGAATTCCATTTTTACTTTTTTCCTCTTTTTGGGGTTAAGAAACAAAATGATCTAGTGTTCTCGATAACAAAGATGGACTCATATGATTTAGACTATGAACTCCAAGATTAATGAATCTTGTCCTGTTCCACGTACTTATTCATTAAGCAACTTCTACGAAATTTGATCTCTGACATCTTGTTAGAAGACTTGGTTGGCAAGATTTTATTACTGGTTGCAACTGATGAAGACTTGAATAATAACGAAAAAAATGTTTGAAAATTGCAGGTGGCTAGTCTGGATGCAAAGAAAATTCTATTGGTTTTCCGGCTATTTTGTATTTTATTGCACTTTTGACATTTGATTGTCTTCCTTCTGGGCCTGTCTGTTGGGGGACCTTGTATGCTAAAATAACCAATTAGCCCGCCTATATCGACGATGATTAGACGAAGGACCCGGGATTAAGAATAGAACTCGATTAAAAAAAATTACAGGACTAAACTGTAATTTCTCATTTCTTAGTCGGTTTGGCCAAAATAGCATAAAGGCTGCCGGAATCGTCTGTAAAAGTTTTGTAACAGTTTAGCTAATGGTTAAAATAAATCGTATTCCTTTCTTGATTCTATTTTTACTCCTTCCTCGTCTCCGACTTCATTGGAGAAGGTCAAACTTCGGGCGAATTCTAATTCTGTCACCTATATGCATAGAGTAAGGGATGCACGCGAATATAATCTTTTTTGATAATAATATTCTCTTCATTAACAAATTTCTTACTCTTTTCATTTTTTTTTGTTCAATAAAAATAGTCAAATCAGTAAAATTTACCGTTCATACTGTGAAGGGGAGTGACACTAGTTCATGTACGTAAATTCAAAACACGAATAGATTTGGACAGACAATTTTTTCTTCCTTTATCTTACTCCCCAGTTCTTAATTAGATAATCTCAAAGAACGTGCATACTACGTGTGTCGTGTCTATCAAACATCACCGTTTCTCGTTGACTCTCACTCATTATCTTGTAAAATTCTCGGACATTTCTTGATTATTATTTTTCGTATTTCCTTTATGACAACAATGTGCCGTGGTGCAATACTTAATATCGAAGTCATTTACATGAAAAAAGAAAGTCATTCTTAATAATAAGTATTTGGAAGAATCGGTTTACATTTTAGGGTGCAGTATCTATCAAATTCTAACTTTTTCAAAATATAGAAAACGATGCAGCTGGATTGTTATGGTACTACTTCAACCTGAAGCACTTGCAATATTTTCACATATATTTATGAACGTCAATTCTTAGACTGCCTTTAATTTCATGGTGCTTGCCTGCTTGTAAAGTAAGAAATGCCGAGTATTTGATCGTCACCATCGGAAGTCCCAAGTCCTAACCATTTTAAGTGTGTGAATGTTAGAAAAAAGAACAAGTAGCCGGAAACGTCTGTGTGAGAGAGTTTGTTCGGTTTTAGTTTCTTGGTAGTTTGCAAAACGACGGACTCGGAAGACTTCGGGTCTTCTTCTCACTGTTGTAATGTTGATCACCATTTGGCAATTTCATTGCCTTCTTTTTCCACCTCTTAGTACGATGCTGTAATTGCTTAGGCAGCTCGATTTTACCTCGTCTTATTGACGTTTGTGTCTGTTGTTTTAATGTCTCCATCAAAGAGCTATCACTTTGAGTGTATTCCAAATGGACAATCAAACATTTCGGTTGTTGATGTGATGATAAATGATAAAAGAACAAAAAAAAAAAAAAGACTTGAAATGGCGTGGTTGTCATTGGAGAAATTACGGTGCAATTTCTAGACTTCATCTCATATCGTATACGTTGGCGTTGGTTACGGAACTTGCGTCTTGCGTCATGTATATAGAATTGGAGTGTGGATTCCACAGTCCACACGCATGAAACACACCCCTTTTGAATTCACTGGATTTTGCAAAGACAATCTTTTCAACACTTTTTCGAATCGGATCGCACTTGCTTTCGATGTACTTTTCAAGGAAGCGAAAAAAGCCCCACACAAATCAAGTACTCCCTCCGTTTTAAAATTATTATCCATTTTAAATATTTATTTTTAGTTTAAATTGAAATAAAAATGAAATCTCAAACTGAACAATAATTTTGAGATGGAAAAAATATACTCCCTCCGTCCCATAATTATTGTCCAATTTTAGTTTTCATTTTTAGTTCAAATTGAACTAAAAGTAAAATCTCAAACTGGACAATAATTTTGGGACAGAGGGAGTATATTTCTTCCCTAAATTCTAAAGTGTGACCCCCTGGATGGTGTAAGGTTAATTATTATGTCTTTCTATTTACTATATAACATATTTCATTTAGTTATAGTGGACTCTTTTTTGAAAATAAAGCAAACTTCTCTAACAAATATTTATCTTTCGAACAGGATACACATTTGATCTCCTGTTAGGAGAGATTTGAGTACGAGAAATTCCAAATACACATGAAAAGTGCAACAGCAAGAGCATAACCATCGAGAAGTAATACGTGTACAACCAACCAAATGCAAAATGAACAACCATTTCTGTCATGGTTTTAGTAGACTGCACGGTTTTTCCAACAAAGAAATTAATACGTGTACACCAGACCAAAGCGTGAGTACGTAACTAACTAGTACTATAACCACTTTGATAATCATGTGTCATTTATTGTCAATTTCCCACATTTCCGACGTACTATTGTTGCATTAAAATGAAGACTCAAAAGTCAACCTCATGGTCTTAGACAAATACAAGCTTATCTGGAGTACTTCTTGTGTTTACCTGCAATGTAAGTTGGCCACCTAAATGTCATTAGTATTAAGGAAATGAATCAGTTGATCATCGAAGTTCAGGTTAATAACTATGATGTCACTGGATTAGCAACATCGATCATCAAGTGTGTGTGTGTGTGTGTATCAACATCATGGCCAGAGAGACAGCAGGAATTGACCATCTTTTAGCAATCCTGAAAAAATTTCAATTAATTAACTTTTGGCATATGGAACACGATTTAGGATAGATGCTATACTTGAGTTGCCGATAACCAAGCTTCATTGTTCATCACAATGTCGATTGAGAGAACCAACGCAACCCACGTACTGCCAAATTACAAGCAGAACCAGCCTGCTGCTGATCTGTCGACTCCGTGTAATAGGTACAAATTAGACAGTTTTAACACTCGAGTGCTGACAGTTTTACATTGGCAAGACTAACATGATACGTTTGGAGCAATATTACACATTTCGCCAAATACAAATCACAATTGCATTTCACCCCTACACGACATTCACCCTAGTAGATGTTGAATTGAATGAAATGTCTACCACTAGTTGTGGTAAGGTTTAAAGTTTAAATTCTTTATTACTGCTGGATCAAGTAAATATAGATAGAAAATGACTCTGCAAAAGCTCAAATGGACAGATAAAATAGAAATGTAGGTAGTACGAGTACACCAGTCTTGACACGACTATTATAACAACCAAAAACTTGGATATTAATTCATTAGAAATTACTTGGTGTCGTGTTGTTTTCATTTCCAACATAGTACTACTATGGTAAAAAATCAAGACTCACAACTCACGAGTCAACCTGACAGACATATATAACATTCATCATCAATCTACTAAACAATCACTAGATTGTAGTTGGTATCTTGGCAGTTGGCACCCTAACGGTTTCATGGAGGAATACCTAAACCAAATGGCGTCATGGATGAATACATTATACACACTCTGAGTTAGCAACGGTAAAAGGGAACAAATAATATTGTTTTTCTTCACAAATGACTAACTTTCAGGTAAATTCCTTTGTAGCTAACAGGTTTTAATGGTCCATAGGGTCCAAGGGAAATGATGCATTTAGCTGTTAAAAGGGGTATCGTAACTGAAGGTACAGGACGCAGGGAGCAGAACTCTAGTTAGAAAAGATAACATCAGCTTCGTGGCAATAATGGCTTTTTGCCTTTTGGCTAACCTGAAAGGATGTCAAATTCACTCTTTTCTAGCTTATGCAATAGTAACTGGAAATCTGGAACTAGATAGGGTCATTTTAGAAAAAAACTCTGGCGACTCTGCTTTTAGGACCAAATTGGTAAAGGGTATCACAATTCAGTGCTGGAAAACAACATCTATACTTGTTCAAGAAGACTGCCATTCTAGAAATCACCTACATTCTGGCTTCATCACCTAGCAGGAACTGAATTGCCCAATGCTTCATAGCTCTTATCTTACACATTTTCCACAAGCACCATCAAGTATCAAGAGTTTGATCGAGTTCTTCGTTTGCGAAATCTAAAATCACCTATCTTGAAACAACACTTGGAATCCCCAAATCTATAGGACATCATTTTGTCAGTTTCACAAATCCATTGCAGTTCATCAATTAACAGTTGTAACAGTTAAAATAGTCCTATGAAACCAGATACTGAATTAATCACACTCAATCAGTAAAAGCGTACATCAAAACTTGAATCTTTATGCTTATAAAGAGCAACTTTTACCAAGTGAACAGAACCAAATATCACTACAATCAACTCCTTCTGATTCTAAAACTTCTGTTTCACATATTCATCAATATCATTCACATTGCCAGATCCCAACAAATCACTCCCTTTACAGCTACAAAGTTCGAATCGACTCCTGAACTTAACCCAAGAGCTATCTGATTTCAACATTTCCCTCCTACTATTTTCCAAACACACCCAAGACAACAACTTGGCGACCTCCTTTCTGTTTGCCGGCAAATCCAACCCTTTGACGGCGACTCTGGCCTCCCTAAACGCCGTCAAACACTTCATCTCAGCGAATTCCCGGCATCTACCCTTGGAAGCTTCGATACAAGCCTCCATTTCGCGTTCTTCGCATTTCGCCCTTTCCGCAAAATCCTGTTTGCCGGCTGCGCCGCCAACAATTAGGTTTTTCCACCACGGCGGTTTGCATTTATCGGATGCGGCGATGGAGCAGCCAATTCGAGCTCCGGTTTCGCATTGCTGGAGAATTTGGGCCTCGCAGGCCTTGTAAGCGGAGGCCCATTTCTTCGGGTCCTTGAACGCCAGAATATAGGGGCCAGCTTCCGGATTGTCTGACGGACTTGTCTTCAGTGGTCCGCGCAGGAGAGGGATTGGGCGGTCGAATGGGATGACGGTGGCCGACGGTGCGTAATCGTCTAGGTTAGGCGGCGGCGGTGGCGGCGACGGTGGAGAGACTAAAGATTGCCCGGCCATTTAGACGAATTGTCGAGTACAGAAAACACCAGATAAAAATTACTATTAAACATCCGTAAATTTGAAGTAAATATATATCAGAAAACACCCCCAGGTTCAGTCCATTGTCAAAAACCTCCTCTGATTTTGGATAAATATCGTTAAACTCCTTAATCGGTGACTCAACTATCAAATCTAATCCTACGGGGAAAAAAAATGATGCAGGATTATGACATCAGCAACAAAAATTATTAGGAAGGAGAGGCGATGAGACCATAGATTCATTGATTTTTATGACAAAAAAAATGATTTTAACAAATGTTCAAGGAAATAAAAACGAAATTCTATTTTAAAGAGTTCGCCTGAAATTAAGAAGGCTTTCGGTCATTTTGTGTGTTTTCCCGGTTGACATGCAAGGTTTGCCAATCAAGAGAGATTTTTGATAATTTATTCAAAGGCAAAAAGATTTTTGATAATGGACTAAATCTTGGGGGTATTTTTGATATTAATCCAAAGATCAATGACATCCATTCACGCAACAAAGTTCATCACTAAATATCTTAGTAGAACACTAAAACTTCTTTTAGCTCTGTGTTGAAAATAAATATATGAATATGTATCTTGGGTTATAACGAAAACGGCCTCTTTGTATAATTACAACGGTGAGGATGCATACAACTGACCCTAGAACCCAACTTGGTTGGGGATATGTTGATGTTGATGCTGATGATCTAGAATGGTGTGGGACGAGTCTTATGTGGAAAAATTAATCAAAATTATATTTACATAATTCGAGCATGATTATTGTCATGCTACTATCATAACATAGCAAATCAAATATTGTAGTACAATTCGTGGCAACCATTGTCATCAATATTGCAAGGGGATAGAAAAGAAAAGAGCTAGTGAGATAAGCATACAGGGGATACATATATAATTAACTGGACACCAGGAACCTGATGACATTCTATAAAGAATAAAAAACCATTTGATCTTGCCCTGATATACTAAAACCAACTTTTGGAACCATCATTCGTCCAAACATAGGCGCATCAACTTGGAAACACGGTTAGCAGTAGGAAGATCATGTTCACTTAAAATTTTCACCGTGTCCTCAAGCTCATCTCTTGGGTCTGTTAAGCAATGGTAAAGCCTAATGAGGACTGAATGAGTCCATTTCGACATATTATCAAGGACATCGTTCAAGTACTCAATATCAACAGAGAGCTGATGAGCTCCGCGATCCGTTAAATACTCGATACCCCGCAATTGCTCCATGTAAAGGGCAACGGCAGCCTTTTCGACCTTGCTTTTCCACTTAGTTGCAAGCTTCTCGGCTTTCCTTGCGAGCCAATTGGCATCATCAGCATCGGGATCAATACCGTTGCGAATGCCCTCAGAAACTCCATCTATTTTCTGAGACAAAGTGACAAGATATTCGCCAACATTGGTCGCATAAGGCTGAGGGAAGACGGCACTTGCTTCATCATCATCATCCACAGTTGACGACGTCCATACCGGCAAGCGAGACAGGCCCTTGAATTGCTGCTCTACTTGAGATGTAAGAACCTCATAAACAAGTTCATTAACTGCATCTGAAAACGCTTCCACCCGGGTGGGAGTAAGCGGAAGTACTTCGTAAGCATAATAATCTTCACGCTCAAGTAAGTTGAATACTTTCCGAGCCTTATCAGGGAGTCCCACAAGTCTTAAAAATGCTAAACCCGAGGCAGGATTCTGTAACCATGATCCTACATCCGGTGCAGGATCAATGAGTTCATGTAAAATATTTCGATCAATGCTCCAGCCAAAGGATAAACTAGAGAGATCTTTTCTTATTCCAGTAAGAGTGTGGTACATAGAGTGTCCAAACTTTGAAAAGCTTCTAGACAAACTATTTGCCACTGGGAGAATTTGTAGTGTAGCTTGGACAAAACACCAATATTCCTCCTGGTTCGACAAATCCTTTATGTGTACTCCAACAAGATGATGATCCTTGCCTACCCCACAAAGAATCCTTAATGCTTTTAGAATTTCTTGAAAAGTTAATACATATTGTTGCATTAGGTCATCCAGAACAAGGACGAGCTCGCGTGCCTCGGATCCTCCTGTGAAGTTGATGCATCTTTCGAAAGCCTTTTCAACAACTAGTATGACCTGTGGGATGGAATCCGTCATTTTTCGCACGGCTTCAGTTATAAGTTCATCAACTCTTTGAACACCACCAGAACAACTTATAAATGAAGAAAATCCCCTAAGACCGAGTATTCGGGCAGCGACTTCACAAGACAGCACAGCGCGCTCCATTCGAACATACCTCAGCTTAAATGATTCGTACGGAAGGTAGATGGAATTCAGTGTATCCAGCAAGAGATTCGGATGAACATCGCGAAACAAATGCCGAATTTTACGATCAAAGGTTTCCGTCATGCTGTGTAGTTGAATCAGTGCATCCAGATGTTTGTTTCGGAGTTTGACACCTTCTGGTACATCTACAAGGTTGACACGGGATTCAAAGCTTTTGGCAGTAGACATCATTGTTTGAATCAGTAGATTTGGAACCAATGTGGTGTAATCTTCGGGAAAAGCTTGAGAACACCAGTTCCACTCTTGTTCCAGGTAAAGAAACAACTTATCATAGAAACAAGGCAACCAAGTTGAGAATGACAATTCACGATTGGCATTAATTAGTTGGTGGTGGTCAAACTCATCATCCCACAGCTTTGTGATGGTGGATTTGAGGTGGACTTTTGGTGAAGTGGAGTTGGAAGGAGCGGAATCCACCAACAGTAATTAGAAAACTACGGATATCATTGGCAGCATCGACCTTGCGGTTGGTCAAAGCATCTGTAAGAGGAGATTCTAACGTTGAATGTAGGCTGTCTTCCAGGGCTTGCATCTGATTTCTAACATTAGCAAATTCAGCAGCCCAAGTCTCCGCCATGGCTCAACTTAATTCACATAAACCACCAGCCGCCTCCTCCTGCAATGTTTCCATTGGAAGCTAGCCTTGACCGCAAGGGTTAAAAAAAAAAAAGGAGGAAAAATAGAAACCCTACTTTACTTAAGAAAATATCTACGGGTTTGTCCAGTTTCCAGGTGATGAATAAGAGAATTGACCGGAAACAAAAGTTGTGGGGAAGATGGAAGTCGTGGGTGTATTATATATACTCCTTCTCTCCCAAAATCATTATCCACCTAAGATTTGAGGAAATATAACATTTTTTTTTTTGCATTCAAGGCAGATCGATCTTCACCTTCGCACTGCTTTCCATGAAACACGTCAATAGTGTCATGGCTGTTGATCCACGCCATTAAGAAATTTTCATAGCCACCAACTGGGTTGGCACAAGTGGTAAGCAGCTTGATGTCGCTTAAACAAGGTCTCGGATTTGAAATCTTGTGGCTGCAAAAAATTCTTGTTGGGAGACTCATCCACCACAGCCAGGTGTGAGACCCGGGTCGACCAACGAATTAGTCGGGGCAAAGCTCCGGAAACCGTGACAAGCAACAAAAGAAAAATAAAAAAAAATTTCATAGCCGAAATTAATAGACAGGACATGAGTTCTTCTGGTTTTAGGGACGTATTAGAGATAGATGTATAAATAGAGTTGAAAAGAAGAACTTAGATGGGGCGATTCGTAACATACATCATCGGAGAGCATCTATACCAGCCAGTGGGAGCAACCAAACTCCACTTCATGTATTGTAAATTTGTAATGTATATATCCCCCGTCAAAATTCTTCCCCCAGTTCTTAAATTTTTGTAACTTGTTAAAAAAGGAGAATTTGTACTGTACACCAATTGATGAAAGTAGTTTTTCCACGCAAATAACAGACAGTGAAAAGCGAATATGATCTTTTTATAATCGTAAATAATAATTCTCTTAAAAGTCCCAAAATCTGGACAGTCGATTTAACTTCTCCACCTTATAAGCATAAAAAAGGTCTTGAGTACCACTCTAAGTTAGAGTTTTTTTTTTTTAAAAAAAAATATTCTACTTTTCCTTCCATGAATGAGTGAAATTAAGGGTCAATTTTTTACGTCGTTAATTTACAAAGCAAAATATGAACCGGAGGAAAGCTCTTTCAACGGTCAAACTTTGCACATTAGAGTTTGCTATATACACGTATCAACGGTGATAGGATCACCGTAAAATATCAAAAATAATTTTATCTCTAGTAGCTAAGATTAGTTATATCCAAATCCCTAGCCACAGCCAACGCCAACGCCAAATCCAATGAAACTATTCGGCGGAAAATAAGTCCTAAAAAGAGGTCCATGTCTCTTCATGATCGATCCTCCAACATGGAATGTAACACATTCTAATTATCCAAAACATAAGAATTGCTCAAAATCCCTACTTGAAACAAAACACCAGTACTATTGAAAAATCAAAATAAAAAAAAAAATCAATGCATACAAACTTTCCTTATTTTTTCTCATTTTCCCAGTTTGTTTCCCAAGAAGATCACCAATATTTCAGCCTTATATCATTTCTTGGTGGTTATAACTTGTTGCTGTCAATTGTTGCTAGGAAATGGTTTTATATACGTTTTTCTGATTTAATTACCATTGAGTTGCAGAAAGTGATACGTATGAGTATGACAATTCTTGTTACATCGAAAAGTACTTTCCATTAAAAGAGTTAACAAGTGATTAATTTGATCTAAAGACTTGTTTCGTTCTTCTGAATTCTCTCCTTGAACCTCCTTCTCTGCTATCTAGTAGTATTGAGCAAAATCCCAACAAAGATCCAGATGTTCTCACTAGAACTTTTGACTTCAAGCTAAGCTAATTGATGCTGCCCCAAGTCCACTACCTCAGGCTCAATCTCAGGTCCTGGTAGCTCACTTCCCCTCTTGACTGCAGTTACATTACAAATGCTGTAGATCAGGCCAATTTCCACTATTCATGAATTCAGGCCTGGTTTTTCAAATAGAAGTTAATTACCTCAATTGCCACCTGGTTTATAAGAAATTATAAACTGCGTGGATAGCCTAATCATCAAAAGGAGATAGTACTAGTTTATAGAACAAATTCTCATTTAAATTATACATGTGAACTCATTATTTGCTGTGCCATATATTGTGATCTTGATGATATAAGCATTAGTAATCGCGATTATTAACTGATTGGGCTGGATTATTAATAATACCAGGCCCATTATAATAAACCTAGGACTGTTTGAAAGTTGAAACTCTCTAAACTCCCATTAAAATTCTATTTCTACCCTTACTTTTTTTTTTTTTTTGGGGGTCTATAAATAGAGCCTAAAGCAGTATAATAATTTTAGAGGTATCCAATCCAATCCAAGTGCGAATTTTTATCATAACTGGTTTCCTTCTAAAATTTTTCTCTATTAAGTGGCGGTCGTACGTTCCCTGCTTTGATTTCTTTGTTTGTCAAAAGTTCGCCAGTTTTCAATTTGCGGGGGGTTTAGGGTTTAATTTGAAGAACAATAACGGTGAGGTATCTTCTTCCTTTTTCTTTTTTTTGTGTGTCATAGAAATTGGTCGAGTTTGCTTTCAGGTTTCGTGAAAAGCTTTATAGAATTTGTGACCTTTATTATTCATCATAGATAGAGAACAAGTGAACAACGTACAAAACCCTTGTGCCTCTGTCTTAGATTCTCAAATAATTTGCATTCTTTGCTAATTGTTTCACCAGTTTACTACTTCCACAATCTTGTCGTCAATATGAATCCGAAGCCGGGATCAAAAGAAAAAGAGATACCAAGACTAAGAAACTTGATAGCAGCAGACCCAATGCGGTTGCGCTGACACTAGCAAATCCGATCATCTCAGGGAAGATCGAGTCCGGCGAAAACTGTTTCTTCTCGCCGTTGTCCCTCCAGATTGTGCTCGCCACCACCGTAGCCGGGTCCAATGGCAAAAACAGAGACGAGTTACTCTCTTTCCTTAAGTTTGACACCGTTGATCAACTCCATTCTTTCTTCTCCAAATGCGCCGATTCTGTATTAGCTGATGGTAGCCCATTGGACGGCGTTAATTTGCGATCTGCTAACGCGGTCTGGATTGATCAGTCTCTGTCTTTTGCATCCCATTTCAAAGACGTCCTCACTAATGTTTATAAGTCTCATGCCAATCAAGCTGATTTCCGAGACAAGGTTAGTACTCTCATACCTCGATATGGATTATTTTTTCAAGTAGTATAATTTTTATTATCTTGGGGATATTTGTACTGTTGTGATCATTATTTAGTTTTTCAGATCATTATTTGTATTATTTTTAATATACATTCCAAAACTCAATTTGGATTTTTTTTTAGGTCTAAGGTAGTACTCCCTCCATTTCAAAATATATGTGTTGGAGGAAAACCAATTTTTTTCAAAATAAATGTATAAATATATGTGTTGGAGGAAAACCAATTTTTTTCAAAATAAATGTCATTTTCGCAGATCTAAGCATACTTTCTCATCTTCTTCCAATATTGCCCCAACATGGGAAATTATAACTGTATTTAAAGTAGAAGAGTAGAAGTGTATAGAAGTAAATGATATTGAGAATAGAATTGTATTGAGAATAAATGAGGATAGTTTAGTATTTTAACCAAATATATATTATCTCTTTGAACTTTATGAAACTCCCCTAGCGACATATATTTTGAAATGGGGGGAGTATAATTTTTGTTATATATCTTGGTGATCATTATTTCCTTGTTAGGTAATGCAACTTATGTATAAAAAGAAAAGTACACAATAGATAAAATATCTATATATTTGGAGTCTCAATAATAATGTATATATATTTCTGTTGGTAATTGGTTGGTATAGTTGCAGCGCGGCGAGGCGAGGCGATCAAGGAAGTGAATGCGTGGGCTAAAGAAGAAACAAAAGGTTTGGTTAAAGATTTTCTTAAGCCTAAGGACATCGATGAGTATACGAGGCTGATTTTCTTAAATGCCATATACTTCAAAGGAGCTTGGGAAAGGAAGTTTAGTCCATCATTGACAAAGAAACACAAGTTTTACCTCTTGGATGGAAGCACGGTTGAAGCCCCCTTCATGACTAGTACGGAGAGGAAATATATAAGCGCTTATAGAGGTTTCAAAGTGTTGCGCCTTCCTTACCGACAAGGCAAGGATGTGGACCGGAATTTCTCCATGTATTGGTACCTTCCTACTGCCAAAGACGGGTTGCCTGGTTTGGTGGAAAAGGTCACTTCTCAAGCTGATTTTCTATCTAGAGAAACACATACCAAAACGACGTCGTAAATGTAGGTGATTTCCTCATTCCCAAGTTTAAGATGTCGTTCGACTTTGAAGCTATAGGCATTCTAAAAGATTTGGGATTGGTCCGGCCTTTTGTCCACGGCGGGTTCAAAGACATGGTTGATCCTCCCGGTGGCGATGGACTACGCATTCCGAGTATTTTTCAGAAATGTTTTATTGAGGTTAACGAAAAAGGTACAGAAGCTGCGGCCGTGACTCGTTTTGTTGCTCTTTCAGTGCGCAAGACAAGTTACAAAACCATTAAGTTTTGTTGCTGATCATCCGTTTCTTTTTCTCATAAGGGAAGATGAAAGCGGAGTGGTACTATTTATGGGTAGTGTGCTTAATCCGATTGGAGCTTAAACATCCACAAGTGAAATGCCAGAATAATATTTTTGTTATTCCACCCGTCGAGGTGTAAGAGGATTAATTATTGTTGTTGACGGTAACCACCTTACAATATGCAAAAAAATATTATTGCTAATTTTTTTTGTCGTATTTTTCAATAGAAGTCCTTACATTATTAATTATAATGATGTTTTTCATACGACATTTGGTTACAATGGATACCTCGTTATTATTATTATTTTTTGATAAAAAATACTTCGTTATTTTTTGGATACTTCGTTATTTTTTGATTGTATATATTCATTCTCTCTGCATCATTTTCATGTATAGATATAAAGATGGATGATCAATGCATCATTATATACAACTACTATATATATATATATATATATACAGTTTGACTCTATTCACTCTGCAATATTGTTTAGTAATGAAGATAAATGAAGAAGTTTGACTCTATTGCAAAGTGGATGAAATGTCAATGTCATTTTTTGTGATTAGCTAATATAAAATTCAACCCGGGGAACTTTATTTTGTTTATACAATTATAGACTATCCAGTTTTTCAAACGCCTCACATCATGAACCGCGTAACGCAAAAATTAAAATATGGCTGGCCATAATGATAGTTACACATTTAATAAACATGATGGTTGTCATTAATTAGTTATTAAAAGAAAGCATTGGATGAAGCCAACATCATCCTTACAAATTCGTCGTAACTCACAACACCGTCTCCATCCAAATCAGCTTCTCTGATCATTTGTTCAGCTTCTTCATCTGTTAGTCTTTCCCCCAAGTTTATCATCACATTCCGTAACTACACAATTTGTTCGGTATGTATTTTGGTTAGTCAAAGGTAATGTTTGAGAAATATAATACTCCTTCCGTTCCATAATTATTGTCCAGTTTGAGTTTTCATTTCCAGTTCAAATTATACTAAACGTGAAATCTCAAACTGGACAATAATTTTGAGACAGAGGGAGTAATACTTTTATTTTAGTACGGAAGGAAAACATTTAAGTACCTCAATTGGTGAAATGAAGCCATCTTGATCTCGGTCAAAGACTTTAAAAGCTTCTTTCAACTCTTCGGTCACGTTCTCCTGTGAATTTAATACATATAATAAGAAATCAATGCCCTTCTTGAATCAAATTTACATTATGCAACTTTTTTTTTCCCGGAAGTAGTTAGTCCATCGCTATCACCAATTCAAGTCAATTCATAAAGGAGTTTACTTTCTTAAAAATGCCAAGAAAAAACACATACACAAATTTGAATATATAAATTATAAGGGATTAGAATAATTTATTTTCTACAGTGAGCTCCAGCTAGCTAGCTATGATTCGTTGAATAGAGAAAATTTTTAAGTTGAAAATTCATGAACCTTAATTCATTTTTCCAATATATATATATATATATATATATATATTCCCGTTTTGCGTGGTTAAGAAGGAATTTAATTTATTAGGATTTAGGAATACCTTCATTTTCTTGGCCATTATTGCCAAGAAATCTTCAAAGTCAATCCTCCCATTTCCATTGACATCAACTTCACATATCATTTCCCGGACTTCCTCCTTGGTCGGACGTTCATGCAGTGATTTCATCACCGACGCTAGCTCTTCTATAGTTATAATACCTATCAACAGAATCAAATTGGTACGTTGATTAACCCCGCAAATTCGATGATTAAAAAAATAAAATAAATGCTTCACTTAATGTCTAACAATAATGCAAGAGAATTGCAATTTAATTTATTCATTAGCTTCCGCCTCACATTATGTTTGGCGTTGTAGGAAAAAAGCAACCCAAATAGAAGAAAAAAAAACAGTTTGTGAAAACAAAACAACATGTAATTGCGCATTTATGAAAAAAAAAAAAAAAGAAAAGAAAAGGAGAACAGTAATTTTGGAATGAGTATATATGGATCAGCCTGGAAACAAACGTACCATCAGAATCCTTGTCGATCAGAGAAAAAGCTTCACGGAATTCAGCAACTTGTTCTTCTGTCAATTCTGCCATGGTGCTTTTTTTTATTTTTTTATGATGAATTGCTTTCTTTGAATAAAATAAAAGCTTTCCAAGTAAAGTGGAATTGAGGGAGGGAAAAAGAAAAATAGATGCTGCGTAAGTACTCCGCAAAGCCAGAAAAAATGAAATATATAGGAGGGGAAAAGTGTAGTTTGGCTGTTGTGTCTATATTCTACGTGCTGATCTTGAATAAACAAAAGGTCAGACACGGTTAAGAAGAAAAAAAATTATTCTCATTCAACATTCTTGGCTGTTGGCTGAAGCTTCTTTAGGTGGTCTATAATCTCAGCTTCAAAGGGACAATTTATCAATTATTTATGTAGGAAATTAATGTGAACGAGAAAGGAACAAAAGAGTGTGAGGGTGTTTATGGTGTGTCTAATCCGAGCCGTGCTCGGTTGGGAGCGTCTGGCTAGTGGAGTTAAAAATTATTATCTTTTCCATTCCGAAATGATTATTTAACTTTAAATTTTATTTTCCTAATTAGTAAAAGAATAAATTAGAGAATAATTTTGGAATAGAAGAAGTATACTCCCTCCATTTTAAAATATAAATCTTTTTAGACTTTACACATAAACTAAGGAGACAATCATCCAGTAATTAATTTATGTATTAAATATCTGTTTTACCCCTCATTATATACATTGGAACTATAAACAATATTAAATAAAAATAGATTAGAATCATTTATTGATGGTGTTGGAAAAATAGTCATTAATTTACCTAAAATTTGTAAAACGACCTACATTTTGAAACTAAAACGATATACAAATTAAAATGAATGGAGTATGTCTTAAGGGTCAAATTTTGTTACAGATGATTTAATGTTAGTATGCATTTTTCAATGTTGTTGATGTTTTTAAGATAGTTGACTCATTCTTTCCACCATCAATTTTTGTTTTTATTTAAATGAGAAAAAAAAAAGTAAAAGAACAACATAGAATTTTATGGCTTTTTAAGCTTCCTATTATTCGGCTGACCTATTTCCACACTATAATTGTGTAACTATTTTAAGTTTCTGCCTCCTCCAATTTTTTTTTTTTTTAATTTCTTTTGTGAAACTATAACCTATATAGCCTTAATACATTCCGCAAGAGACGCTTTTTTCTCTAAAATTACATTTATATTACCAAGAGTTATAAAAAAAAAAACTCTAAATCATCATACAATTGTTCTTTAACGCCAATCAAAAGGTTGCTAGGGTTTCGCCATTAGAGTCAAGAACGAGAGAGAGATTCAACTTCAAGAATTGGGGGAAAAAATGTGTATTGAAAATTCTGTATATATCTCTATACAAGTCAACCGTATATTCTATATTTATACAAGATACTACCTACTATAACTGACTAATTAACACGTATTTACAGCTAATGATTAACTGTGTCTGTACAAATTACACTACAGCCTCTATATTTACAATTAATTATCAAACGGTCCTTGATCACAACTAAGAAGTATTTACACATAATCAACTGCTAATATTCACATCAACCTGGATCTAAATCCTCAAATCTTGGTTCCTTCATCTCAACCTTTAACTCTGATATCCTCCCCTCAAGCTCAGAATTGGGATGATGCAAATCTGCCAAACTGAGCTTGGATAACAAGAACAGAAATTGAGGTGAATGTAATACTTTAGTAAAAAGATCTGCGGGTTGGAAGCAAGAAGATATGTGAAGAGGAAGCAGAAAACCATCCTTGTACAAGTTCCGGACGATATGACAGTCTATGTCCAAGTGTTTCGTTCTCTCATGAAACACTGAATTCATGGTGATATGCAAAGCAGATTTATTATCACACACAAATGGTATTGGTAAAGGAACAATCAACCTGAGATCAGAAAGAATGTAATGGATCCACTGTAACTCACATGTTGTACTTGCCATGCTCCGGTATTCAGCTTCATAGGAGGACCTAGAAACGGTGGTTTGCTTCTTGGTCTTCCAGGAAATCAGAGAGTCACCAAGGAAAATACAATATCCGGATAAAGAAAATCTGCTAACAATGCACTTTCCCCAGTCTGCATCACAGAATGAAGTAAGAGTCAAATCATTCTTACTAGAGTAGAACAATCCAAGGGAAGGAGTCCCTTTAAGGTATCTCAGAACATGAGTAGCAGCTATTCAATGGACTTCTCTGGGTTGCTGAAGATATTGACTTAGCTGCTAAGTAGAATGAGCTAAGTCTGGTATGGAAATCCCTAAATATAATAGCCTGCCAATTAACCTCCTGTACTGACTAGAATCTGAGTATAAAGGACTGGACTCATCTTAGAGATTTAATTCTTTAGGTATGGGAGTAGAAACAGCCTTGCAACCAAGCATTCCAGTGGACTCCAAGATGTCTAAGATATATTTTCTTTGGTTAAGAACTATGCCCTCAAATGATCTAGCCACTTCCACTCCAAGGAAGTATTTTGCAGGACCTAGGTCTTTGATAGTAAATGCAGCATGTAAAGCTTGCTTAGTTTGTAGGATAAGGTTTTCTGAACTGCCTGTGATCAATACATCATCCACATAAACCACTAAGAAGAGACAGAAATCAGGACCAAACTTCATGAACAAACAATGGTCATGTGATGACTGAGAGAAACCATGAGCTGCAAGATGATTGGTAAATTCATAATTCCATTGTCTTGAAGCCTGTTTCAGACCATATAAGGATTTTTTAAGCTTGTAAACCTGATGAGGCTGTAAAGATGAACCTAGTGGAGCTTCCATGTACACATCTTCTGTCAAGGAACCGTGGAGGAATGCATTATTTATGTCAACCTGATGAAGAGGCCAGGCTTTTGCAGCAGCAATAGCAAACAGAATCCTCACAGTGACTGGCTTTGTAACAGGTAAGAAAGATTCGAAGTAGTCTTCCCCTTTTACTTGTGTGTATCCTTTTACAACCAACCTCGCTTTGTATTTCTCCACTGATCCATCAGGATGATATTTGACCTTGTACACCCATTTGCAACCAATGGGCTTCTTGCCAGGTGGTAAAGTAGTAATCTCCCAGGTTTGATTGTCTTCCAAAGCTTGAAGCTCCTTCTTCATTGCATTGATCCATTCTGGTTTCCCTTTAGCCTGGAAATAGGAATGTGGTTCTGATACTTTTGATACATTAGCTAGGAAGCTGAGATAAGAGGGATTTATGGAGGTGTTTACTGTATAGGGATAGGTTGAAGGAGGATAGAATTTAGTTTTGACAGTGGTAGCACAATGAGTCACATAATCATTATGCCAAGAAGGTGGAACACGTGTCCTGGAAGACTTCCTAAGGGGTACTGTGACATTAGGAATGACATGATTAGACTGATTGTGATGAGAAAAACCATGATTAGATGATGTTTCTGATTGTAAATGATCAGAAGAACTGGAATTTTCAGAGATGCACCCTGGACTATAGGTAATGTCAGGATTAGAGATAACTATTGGAGAGTTATTGTATGGATCACAAACTGTATCAACAAAAGGGAAAATATGTTCATGGAAAACAATATCTCTAGATATATATATATATATATATATCTTATGATCAGAAAGACAATAGACTTTGTAAGCCTTTTGTCCTGTTGGATATCTAAGGAAAATGCACTTTAGTGCTCTAGCATCAAACTTGTTTTTCTGAGGATTATGATTGGAAATAAAGCAAAGGCAGCCAAAAGTCCTAAAATAACGGAGGTCGGGTGGTTTATGATTAAGAATTTCAAAAGGTGATTTCCAGCTTAAAACAAGTGATGGAAGACGATTTATGATATATGTTGCAGCAAGAATGGCGTCTCCCAATAATTTCTTGGGAAGTGATGCATGGAAAAGTAAAGATCTTGCCACTTGAAGCAAGTGTTTATGCTTCCTCTCCACAACACCATTTTGTTGTGGAGTGTAGGCACAACTCTTTTGGTGTAAAATACCTAAGCTGGAAAATAAGGAATTGCATTCATGATTCACAAACTCAGTACCATTGTCAGTTCTGATGGTTCTGACTTTGGTTTGAGACTGAGTGTTAACCATAGCAAAAAAATTTGACAAAATCTGAAAAGTGGAAGTTTTATGTCTAATCAGGAAAGTCCAGGTGCACCTACTGAAGTCATCAACAATTGTAACAAAATAGGAGGTTTGAGAGAGATTAGGTATGGAATATGGTCCCCACAAGTCAACATGTATTATTTCAAATATTTCAGAAGTAACTGAAGTACTTACAGGAAAAGCTAGTCTATGTTGCTTAGCTAATGGACAAACTTCACAGCAAAAACTAGGATCTACATTTATTCTAAGTGTGGTGCTAAGATGTTGTAACACTGTTGTTGATGGGTGGCCTAACCTTAGATGCCACGCATTGGTACTGACCTTTTTACCACTAGCTGTTGAAAAACCAAAATGGTAAGAAGAAAAAGAACCTTTAGGAGGTTTGATGGTAGAATGAAGTAACAATCTTGGAAGATGAATGTGTATCGGCCTTTGTATTTCAGATGGATCAAAAGTCATTGGTGAGCATATGCAACCCTTGCATCACTTTGCCAATACCAAGGATCTCATCAGTCATGAGGTCCTGTAATACGCAAAGTTCAGCCAAGAAATTGAAGTACAAATTAGAATATTTGGCCATTTGCCTAACAGAGATAAGGTTGTACTTAAAAGTTGGCACATACAACACATCTATGAGAGTTATTGTAGAATTAATGTGCACATCACCAATTTGTGACACATACTGAACACTATTATCAGGTAAATATATTGGTGTCAATGAATCAACAGGTTTCGGTTTTGAAAACAAAGACAGGTTAGGACTCATACTACCCGTGGCTCCTGTATCAAACAACCAGATATCACATTCTATAACAGGCTTATTTTTAAACTTATGATAGGTAGTGCTACCTGCAAAGTCGTTGATATGAGCCATGCTGACCAAGTGTGAAGTCTCAGTCCAGCAACTCCTTTTCCTTTGTTGAACCTGCTAAACTCTTGCTGTAGTATGCTCATCTGTTTGGCAAGTAGTTCTAGCTGATTCTGATTGGAATTCTATCCGGAATGTGAATCCAAATGCAATGGTGTTTCCAACTCTGCTACATGTGCATAGTGTTGTCCTGTTGTCTTCTTGTTTGGAAACCCTTTGGCCTTCAACTCCTTCCACCAGTTAGGCACTCCAATGATCTTGAAACAACTTTCCTTTTCGTGTCCAGGCCTGTTACAGAAAGTGCAGAACATCTCTGATTTATTCTTCCTAACAAAACTGTTATTTGTCCCTGTGATTCTGTTTTGAGGAGCTCCACCACCATCTCTTTTGACATAACTTG